GTTTTAATGTGACACTGCTGTGTTTTTCTGTTTCAAACTTCAGCAGAACTACATATCATGATGCCTATTGTATATATTATTGCCAATGCCATTTTTCACCCACCCCTAATATGAAGCCTTCAAAATGATAAAATCATCACAAAAGTATCACATATAAGATACATTTAAAATGCTGTCATTTCATGGCCCCAAAAGTATCCCCCACTTTTAAAAGAGAATTTGATGTATCACATTCTCCAAATTAAATGTAACTTCAGTGTGATGAGTTCAGTCAAATAAGAGATCGTAGTCAGACGGGAGATCACATTAAGCACTTACAAATCTATCTGGGCTAGCAGTTGCAGACGGACAGACACAGAGCTTCTTTCAATAAATTTACTCTACAAAAGCTCAGGCCTTTAATCCCTTTAACATTGAAATCCCTTTTTGGTAAAAATATCCGCTGGCCTCAAAACAGGCCTGTGTGTGTGTTTGTGTGTGTGTGTGTGTGTGTGTGTGTGTGTGTGTGTGTGTGTGTGTGTGTCTTGGAGCAGAAAAGATGGTCAGATGGGTTGTGATAGATTGCGTCCATGATCTATGATGTCTCAATGTAAGCTAATGATATATTTATACACATATATGTTTCATTTGGAATTTGATTATAACTGGAAACATCATTTCTATGGACTAGTAGAGTGGGAGATATGCTCTAGAAGCTTTAGATTTGGCCATGTTTAAAAAAAAGGCAAACAATAAAAAGGAATTAGCTAAACAATAACAAACTATACATATCCTAAAAACTTAAAAAAAAATACTTAAATGGCAAAAAAAGGTAAACTAAGGAAGCGTTGACAAAAATGCGTTTTCGAAAAGTAGAAAAAGCAGTGGAATTCCCCTTTAAAAGTAGCAGATAAAATTAGAAATAAATCAGTGTTTAATGTATATGTGAAATGTATTTGTACATAAAGGTACAACGATGATATAATAAAATGTAATGTTAATGTAATGTAAACAGCGTAGTAAGCCTCCTAAGCCATTATTGTCCTTAAATCTAAAATATATTTGGTCCATATGTTCTCTGAGCTTGCCTGAGCACAGAGCTGAAGTAAATCCATGACTAAAAAAGACTTTTTGCCATATGCAAAAAATTTAAATGGGTATTCAAGATATAGCTATATAAAATTTCATCACTTTAGACCAGTCAGGACAAATTCTCCTGCATTTTCCACATCACATTAAATACAGTTGTTGGACATGGATTAATGAAAAACAAAATAGCTGGTTAAATAAAAGCTAGTCAAAGGACTCTTCCTTTAACAGGTGCTGCATGGGTTTACATTTTAATGTAACATGGAATTTTGTCCCCAGGAAATTAGAAGCCTTTTGACTTTAGAGCCAGAAGCCACAGCTGCATGGTCATGTCATTTAAACAAGGCAGAAATGTGCTGCATTTGCTCAAGCTATATCACTACTTGGTGATAAATTAGCTTAGCTAGTTAGCTACTTTAACCTTGTGATAGTTAAGAAAACACTGTTTAATGGAAAGTCCTTAGTAACAGGAAAAGACAGGAAACATACTTGTATCTTGACTACTCTTCAATTCTGAGAGCTGCTTATATGGCTTATATGAGTTAGCATGTCCTGAACTTGTTAACTGATAAGGTTGTAGTGAAACACTGAGGAGCTCCAGGTGGAGCTTCATCTCAAAACCCATGAAATATTCAGCTCTAATGAGGACACTTCATTCATACGGCCTCACTACTGCTGCCAATGCTTTCAGCTGAGCCCCGCAACCTGGTACGCACAAAACATTACTTTACCTCTTAGACGCTCTTACAATTTTAATGTCTACCATTCATTATTTATGAAAGAGAGCTTTATGTTGATGAGAGCCACCTGTTTTCACACTCCATCAAATTAAGAAAGAGATGTATACTGTAACACTTTAGCATTGTTTAATAAACTAATGTATAGGGATAATTAGAATTCTAAAATCTGAACCATTGTAAAATACATATTTATAACACATTGTAATCAATTATAATCAATTATTAATGTGCCAAGTCATTAAAAAAAACATAGTGTTGCTTGGCGGCCATAGTCCACTGTCAGTGTTATTAAAAATAAATAAATTAGTTATTGAACACCGGTGTATTTTATAATCGCATGTGACAAACAACACCCCTCACTGTAAAATCAGTGGTGAACTTTAACTATTAGAGCTGGGCCTTCAGTTTGGGCCATAAATATAAAACTCTAAAAATGCAGGACAAAAAACATCCCTACTATACTAATTTCTGCTTGTGCTTTTATGAGATTTCTAATATAATGTTGGCATTAAGCTAATGCTGGTCCACATTAACATTGTTTGTATGTTCTAGATTAAACACAGATATCTGAAGCTTGGAAAAGACATGCCATACTTTAATTGAAACTTGTAACAGACATTAACATATATTTTACCTTATATATTGTGGTTTTACAATCACTCCTAAAGCAAAAGGCCCTGGCATTGAGCTGCCACCCATGTCTTTTATTTCCAAAAACTGGCTCGTATTTGCAGTCAGTGATGTGTCTAGGACTTCCAGAAGGCCTAGAGTGATGGTACTTTGCAAGATATTGGTCCCAAAATGTGACTGGTTGATTCCACTGTCACTTCCTAATTATGTTGGTGGTTATACTGCGTTCTTGACAGTTGGGAAATTGGAATCTCCTGCTTCCCAAAAAAACATGGATGATAAAAGTAAGCTGCGCAGGTTTGGCTGTTGTGTGTGTAAAAAAATAAATAAATAAAAAGTATTTATGTTCAGTGGGCCTAAGTCACTGTAACACATGGCCTCTTGTGTCTTAGGTTAATTAACATAGATATATAGACCTACTGCATGTATTCTATGTATTACATCTGCAGGATGTAACCTATATAACACAATGCTTTGTATTCATTCAAACACAGAACTGACTAGATTTAACCCCAAGTGGGTCTAAGTTTGTTTTGCAGATGTGTTGCACTTTATGTTGCTGCTTGTACTGTCTGAAACATGAGCAGGAAGTGAGGGTATTGCTGGGTCACTGGATACAGAGCCAGTGCTGATGCATTATGTAATTTGAACACATCCTCTGTTGTAAGCCTATAGTGTCGCAAAGCAGCACAGGGAAAAGGCAACAAACCAAGATACAGCTGCAGACTTTCTTTGGTCTGCTGGAGCCTTGGCTGCAGGCCACATAGAAAGCTCTGCAGACATGCAGTAAATTCATCTGATTCATTTCGTCATGGCGTTTCCCATCATGAGAGGATTCAGTGAATAGACCATAACCTGCTCATCTGATCAAGCTGTACATTTGTGCCCAAGTAGAATGTAGACATACAAACTTAATCCTCTTCATTCTAGATGAAACGTAACGTTATTTTTATCCATTTGAGTCTGTCTGGCTGCACTGTGTTTCATAGTTATCTGATGTGTGTCATCAGTTTTTAGCTTGCCACTAGCATCTGAAAAATGATTGACGTTGTGATGAGTTCCAAAGCCTATGTCTTTCATCTGTATATCACTGTAATATTTGAATTAGGAGGTTGTTAACTAGTCAGGAAAGAAATATATGTGCAACACACAAGCTTCCAACCCTGTGGATTTAAATAACATTGTAAGACTAGCAACCTCATTAAAACTGCACATACCAGTGAAGTAGGCTAGTAGCTACAAGCTTTACTTTCATGTAACTTAGTTACCACAGTAACATGCAGAGCTGCTAACTTACTTGTAGCATGTATGTATTCATATTCCTCCTCTTAATTTAGGGATTTTATTAGTCTGTTAATACTAAATTAATAATGATTCAATTTTTTTGGCCTTTCTAGATTAAACATGGACCTCTGAAGCTTGTAAAATATATTCCATGTTTTATTTGAAGTAACAGATATAGCAACGTTTATTTGACCTTGTAGCAGTTTCACAGCAGCTCTTTCAGTGCCCTGACACTGCTGCTGTTGTTTTTCCTCTAACTGAAACTCACTGGTTCAGGCTACAACCCGTACTCGCAGTCAGTGACATATCTAGGACTTCCAGAAACGTATCTAGCACATGCCTAGGACTATCTAGGACAAAAATTGGTCCCATCCATCATCCTCATCTAAGCTGTTTATCTTGCTGGACTGCAGGGGGTGCTGGAACCTATACAAGTGCTTATTGGGTGTAAGGCAGAAGAACACCCTGGACAGGTTGCCACACACAGACTTACGCAGTCACCCCCTATGAGGCAACTGGCCTGATTGCATGTCGTAGCACTGTGGGAGGGAAAACCACGCAGACATGTGAAGAACATGTAAACTCTACACAGAAAGGACCCTGGTCACCCAGACAGGGAATCAAACCCAGACTGTTTTTGCTGTTAGGCAACAGTGCTACCCATTACACCACCCTGGACGCATCCATTAGAAATCAAAATGTGATTGGTTGATTACACTGTTGGTTTCTAATTATGTAAGTGGTTAATCTGATGTGTTAGGACTTCAGTTCAGCTCCTGAAGGCCTAACCAATCAAAGAGCTGAATAGGCAGAAAACAGACGACCTTAAGTTTTCATCACTACCGTGCAGGACATATTGACAACACAAATTCATAGTGAAACACATGTGATAACATAAAATAAAAGTGAAAAGTCACAAAAAAATAATAAATAAAAATTAAATAATTTGGACAAGAAACCTTATAATGTCTTCCAAAGTAAGTAAAACACAATTGATGTGTAGATTTTGGTGTCAATATCAACTATGGAAGCAGCTCAAGCTGAAGTGCCCTTGCATTACTGTGTCTTATACGCTTGTAGATGTGCAGCCTTGCAGATCTGATGTGATGATATTGGGCACTTCAGTGATTGTCACGCAACGTAGGTAACAAGTCCGAGCCACAGACCCGGAGATTAAGACTGAGCAATTATGTCTATTAGTATGTTATGATTATAATCACAGACAAACTCCTGAAGTTCTACAATGAGAATGTATTGCGTGTCTCTTTCTGTCCTCAGTGGTGACTGTCCCTGTGAGTATGAAAGAGGTGGCCGGCTATATAGAGAAGCAAGTGGCTTATTTATCAGGTGAGGGATGGCATAGGCTTGCATTCATAGTGTCTTATTGATCCATTCCATAATGATGTTCATCACTGAAAGATGAAGAATTCTCATGTGCTGAATGTATGTTGAGGATTAAAGCGATAGTTTGGCCCATAAATCAAACAGATTTATCCCCTATCTGCAAATGTAGTCAATCAGCCAAACACACATTTGGAAATTAAAGTTTGCTTCTTTAGTTCTGCTCTGGAGCTACAAGGCTAAAGCTACAGCAAGGCTAAGAAATCATCACACACTTGTTAAGCAATCTCAGATTGACATATTATAGGCTTTTGTTTTTATAGAAATAGACAGAAGTGCAGAGAAGATGCAGACTTCAAGATGGGAACTATTATTGTTTTAAACTATGCACTTTTGTCCAATTTTATTGATAATAGTTTGTCACGTTTGTGAGAAACTACAAAAGCAAGTCTGTTTGAGATTACTTGACTCAGTTTTGAGGCAAGTGTGTAAAGATTTTGGCTTGTAGTTTCAACAGTGCTGACAAGTAAACTTCCTTTACAGTGCAGTTCCTTCTATTGTTGCATACCTGTCACAGTCGTTTGAGATCTTCGAACAAAATATGACAAAGACAGCACAAACTATAGTTTTTAAATATATTCATCTTTTGAAAGAAAAAGTTAACTGCTTTGTGTGAAAAAGTAATTGCTCCCTCTGTTTCTCAGTCAACCAATTAACCAAATGTTGTTGATGATGAGGATGAATTAAAGTAGGCAGACCAAGGCTTGGTTACTGGCAGCCCTGTTGAATCTGAACATCACTTAAATAGAAGCATTTTTGAAATGTGAATTAGGCTAAACTGTATCAACAAGCTGCACACTATGCCATGATCAAAAAGAAATTCCTGAAGAGATGGGACATATATTAGTCTGGAAAGGATTACAAAGCCATTTCTGAGGCTCTCCGACTCCAGTGAACCACAAGGAGAGTCATTATCTCAGAATGGAGAAAACTTGAAACATTGGTGAATCTTCCCAAAGTTATTTCACATGGATGACGTGTTCCAAAACTATTTTCATTGGACTTTCATTCTCCTTGTCTTATGTTACATTTTGTATGAGGCTCTGAAACTATTTAGAGTGACAAATATGCAAAAATGGTGGAAAACAAGAGAGGAAACATTTTTTCAAATCTCTGTGTTTGCAAAGCTACATTAGCCTTGGCATTATAAAGTCTTTCAGTCTTTAATGATGGAATATATTTGTGAAGGTAGTCAATTGGGTAAATTTGATTTTTTGCCAAACTATTGCTTCAATGTCCTATTTGCACAGATCCCATTGTCATTTACCTTTGCTTTCCATCCATTACAATAAACCATGTAATATCAATACAGCTTACTCATTTACATTTAGACTTACATTTACTGCAGTGTCTGACATTCAGCATACCTGCACCCCGAGGGTCTACTAATGTGGTGATATGGTTTCTGCAGGGGGCCGAGGTGAGGACTCCAGTGTCATCATCACTCTCCCAGAATGCTCTGATTTCAGTGACATACCCGAGGAGGCTCTGGCTAAAGTCCTCACGTACCTCACATTGATCCCACGGTGTGTGTCTGATTTATCCCGCTGCTCTCTCTCTCTGCAATGCAGCACCCCAACACTGGCTTATACATTCTGTCCACGTAAAACCACACAAGCTTTCTCTTCTCAAACAGTTCTCCATTTAGTTCTCACACTAATCAAAAGATCAGTGGAAAAAAAACAAACAGCATACGCTTAAAAGGGCTTCAGCTCAATCTTTTTAAGAATGCACCATAATTTTCACTGTATATTGAGTTGTTTGGTAGTACTTCTTTTGATCTTTTGATTCTAAGCATTAAAGGGGCATTTTGGCCAAATACTGAGATACAAGAAGCCAAAAGCTATATTGTACATTTTGTCAAACCGATGAGGTTTCAAGCTCCAGAATATTCAATAAAAGATAACCTGTTAAAAAATTTTAGGCCGAAATGCCCCTTTAAGTACAAGCATGCTTTTGTTTTTGTGCTGTTAAGATGTGGCTCTAATGTGTTGAATGTTGCGCCACTCCTGTTTTCAGAACACGGCAGCCTGGAGTAAAATTCATCATCATTTTAGATCGAAGACTTGACACTTGGACCTCCATCAAAACGGCACTTGCAAGGATTGCGGTGAGATAATAATACTTATTAAAAAGTATGAAGCCTCCCTCTTTCTCTTTCTCTTTTGACAGTATGCGCAGATTACGCAGAAAATATAGCGATTTAAGATTTTGCCATTTGGGCGCAGAAAGTTTCATTATTGTTTAAAGAAAACTTTTAATGGACCCTTCACTGCCCTGGTAGCTGTCCATGGTGCTGAACTTGAGTCACTTACCTAGCCTGTATTTCTGATGCAGCATGCAGTGTTCCCTCTGAGCAACTGGACTGCTGCAAACAGTTTTCGTCCTGTGGGCCCATTGATAGTACTGAACAGTACATTTCTTTACATGTACAGCGCTTTACTGGCATCTGTACTGCTGGTAAACTACTTTAAAATGTAGAGTAATTTCATAGTTCATTACTGTATTATTTACAGTAGATAATGTTTTTGTTGTTTTGTTTGCTGTTTTTGTTCTGATATCACTGCTGTCGGAATAAAACCTCGTATTTCCATTTTTGTCATTTTGCAGCTTTTTACATAATTTGAAAATACGTGTGGTCCTATACATTGTGTGTGAATTTCATGATGAATGGACCAACAAAAATGACTTGGAAAAAATTCTGGTTCCATTGACTTACATCCAAAGTAGAGTATGTATATATATATATATATATATATATATATATATATATATATATATATATAATAACTTATTGATTTATTGTTTCCCTTATATCCCCCTTGTATAAAATATAGTGACTATTATAAAATACATTTCTAACAACTCCATTTGAAACCTATGACTCTTAGCAAAAAGAAGCTTATATAGTACCAAAAAGGTTCTAGTGCTGGGCTGGCGAATTCAAGTCCTAGAGGACTGTTGTCCAGCACAGTTTGGTGATTTTCCTAGGCAAACACACCAAGCTTATTAGGTGAGTTTGACCATGAAAATTGCTCTGGACCCCTGCCCTCCAGGATCTTAATCCGTGGTACCCTGGTTCTTGTGGAACCCTTTTTGGTGCTATTTTATATATACAACAGTTTTTCCATCATAGAGAACAACCATTAAACTGTGCAAAGAAGCAAGTATGCATTCAGATCGTTCTTTGGGTGTTCACTGTTTTACATATAATAATTGACTTTATTAAAGAACTCTTGAAGAACCACTTTTTTAAGGGTATACCCTGTTTGTTTGTAAACTGTTTTGTGTTTTTGGCCCTTGGCCACAAACATTGCCTCCCCTCAAATGAACACCCCACCAATGACCCGTCCCACACCCCTGTTATAATGCGTGCCAAAAATGAAACCAAAATAGACTTATGGGAGAACCACGCCCCCTCTTGTCTAAATGTCGCAATAATGTACTGTAAAGCAGTGTTCCCAACTATGGTCCAGGAGGACACCCTGCTCTGCACGTTTTTGCGCTTTCCATGGTCCCAACACACCAGATGATAATTACCAAGCATTTATTGTTGCAATGGATGTTTTGGAGCAGGGAGTTTTAGATTTTTTTGGAGTTCTATAACTAGAATTATATATATATATATATATATATATATATATATATATATATATATATATATATATATTGTATGCACAGTGATATATACATACACACACACATATACATACATATATATATATATACATATATATATATATATATACATACATATTCACATTTGTATTTACAATTGCCTTTACAGAAGACTGCCAACTCTGCTGCCAAAGTTATTTTACAGTGTGCAGCAGTTTTGTGTAGTAGCGTGACGGTGAAGGAGGGCGCGAGCCCGCATAAACGCTACGTGCAGGTTATATATGATGACGCTGGAGGCAGAGAGAGAGAGAGAGAGAGAGAGAGAGAGAGTATGAATAGTCGCTGCTGCTACCCTGCCGTTCACACCGGCCATCGCCAGCTGATGATGGGCGAGGTTCGGGGCAGTGCTGGCGCTCTCAGAGCTTCGGCGGGGATGGCAGAGCGCTGCGACTGCCGCGGATTTCCCAGGAGCCGCAGCGCCTCGGTAAACTTCCGTTTCTCCAGCGGCGCTGAAGAGTTTTGGCTCAAGTTTATCCGGACAGCGAGAATGCGGCATGAGGCGACGGCACCAGCACACTGCGGCTGTGTGGAGGACTTTAGCTTAGTCACGCGCCGCTGCTCTTCACCTCAGCCTCCGTCTGCTTGCATCTGGAGTTTAAAAGCAGCCTTGCGTTGCTCTGAGGTGGAGGAGCAGCCGATCAAACGCGCTGTTTGTACGAACGGCGGTCTACGTCACATCAGAGGGCAGATCAATGTCAAGTGTGGCGCAAACGCTCACAGCAGTCTGTGTGTTCAGTTGTGCGCGCGGGGAGCGAGAGTTGCTGGTTTTATACGCGTTGGCTGGAAATGACGCAGCACTGGTCTGTCTGTTTTGGACGTTTTTTTTCTGAAAGAAAGAAATAGTCAGTGCCAGTCCTGCAAAAGTTCAGCTTTGACTGCTGTCAGTGACCAGTCAGAGACAGACTTTAGTTTCTGGTTCTGGTCTTATGCACAAAGATGATCCTGTTCATCTCTGTATGTGTGTTTGTAGTTGCTGGCAGCATCCTGCATAGTCAGCACACCTTTAGCTTCCTTTCAGTAACTGCGGCTTCGGCCTGAGTACCATTACAGTACTGTATACAATATTGACTCCCTTTGGTGTCACTTTAAGATAAGCACACACTTAAAAACTGGTTCTTAAAGGTTTCTTTAGCAAAGGCAGTGGTTATATTTAAAACCAAGAACTATTTGCATGATTAAATGGTGAAATGGTTCTTCAGATTGATGGAGAATGTGTTGTATATGATTCTGTATCTATATAGCACCAAAAAGGGCTTGACATCATACCAATAGCAGAAATGGTTCTATGTATAGGTTCTATTATGGTTCTATACAGCACCAAAAAGTTCTGCTGTTGTTACAATGTCAAGCTCTTTTTGTCAAGGTTCTATATACAATCAAATACAACATTCTCCATCAATTTGAAGAGCCATTTCACCATGCAAAGAGCCATTTAATCATGCAAATGGTTCTTGGTTCTATATAGAATGATTACCTTTGCCAACGAACCCTTGAAGAACCATCTTTTTAAAGTGTGTAGAACAGAACCGTCAAATAAAGCCATTTCAGATTTGACCTTCTTTTAGCATATAGTAGCAGTACTGAGGAAGCAGGAATGAGTGACGTTTATCAATGAAAACTTAAACATACTTCAGATTCTGTGGTACTGTGATATATATGGATAATGTGACTACTGTCCAGCATTATTTTTAGTAACATAGTCATCAACTGAGATTTAATGTAAACTGAAAATAGAATGCAACCTGTCTAAAACTTCAGTGAAGAGATTTCTGTACACGTAGGATTATTCAGCTTGATTGACGGAGACTTTAACAGCATTGTGGTGTGCAAGTAGAACTTATTGGCATTGTGACTGATGGAGAATAGTGATGGGTGTCTTATGTGTATAGAGGTGCCAAGAAGGACCAGAAGGTCTTGACAATCAAGAGTGGTTTTGTTGAATTGCCTTCATTGCATTTAGTCCTATCTGTATTTGATTAATTACAGAGTAGATTCACACAGTGAATGCTGTAAGTCTGTTTACATGGAGTGTGCAAACCTCAGCTGGGACAGTGTGTGAAATGCTGATAAAAACAGAAAATATTAGTATATTAGTAAAGTATATTAGTAAGTTTGACCTGTATTAAATGAAAGCAGTACAAAAACTTGAAATTTGGTGTTTTACCTTACAAACTTAATTGTTTTTCAAGATATACATTCATTCCAGATTTGATACCTGCAAAAAGTTCCATAAAATTCTAGCAGGAGCATATTTACCACTGAATTGCATTACTTTTCTTTTTACCAGCAGTTAATAATCATGTGGAGACACCAGTTTATTCATTTTGAACGCCTTTTTGCCATTTATCTGTACAACTGTATGGGTCCAGTGTCAAATTTTGTGCATCAGTTTTTCAATGGGAGGCAGATCTGGGCTCCAGGCAGGCCAGTCTAGCACCCCTGCTTTCTATTTACACAAACATGCCGTTGTAATGTGTGCAGAAAGCAGTTTGGTGTCGTCATGTTGAAAGAAGCATTTATGTCACTGAAAAAGATGTCATCTAGAAGGCTGCTTATGTTACTCCAAAATGTATATATCTTTCAGCAGTAATGATGTATTCACAGAGACACACTTCTATACCATGACAGATGCTGGCTTTTAAACTTTATGCTGGTAATAATCTGGATGGTCCATAATAATTCTTTGGCCCAGAGAATACAGCCTCCATTATTTGCATAGACAATCTGAAAGGTTTTCTTGTCAGACTACAAAACACCCTCCGCTGTTCATCCGTCCATTACAGTCATCAGTGTCATCAGTGTTTCTAAACATTGACATATAGCTTCTGCTGTGCATAGTATAGTCATAACTTGCCTTTGTGGATGCAGTGATGAGTAGTGAATTCGTCACAGAAACATGCCAGTTTTAATTCAGAGCCGTCTTTAATTCAGGGATCGATTGGCTTGCTCGTGGGGGCTTAAACCCAGATTGTTCTGTAAAGCTGCTTGGCGACAACACCTGTTGTAAAAAGTGCTATGTAAGTACACTTTGACTTGACCTGACCTTGCCTCTCAAACAGTTCATTGTTTGCTGATGCATTTTAAAGTGGCCAAGCCTTGACCAATCCTTGCTCATAAATGTGCTAGACACCTCCAAGACCATAGTTCGCCACCCCTGGTCGCTCTCCTGGATGCTCCTTTTATACTCAAGCATGATTGCATCACCTGTTTTACTAATTGTTTGAACATTTCACATCGTGGCACCTGTCTCAACAATCTTAGCTTATTTTAACAAAGCAATGAAGTTTATAAAGTAAAACATTAAATATCTTGTCTTGGTCTTTTTTGTTTAAATACTGGTCAAAGTGGATTTTCAAATCATTGCTTTCTGTTTGTATTTGCATTTCACAAACTACCACAGCTTATTTGGAAATTGAGGTTTGTATTTTAGGTACTGAAACTTCTCTTCTGCCACAGAAGTTGAACCCTGGACTTATGTTTTGTGTTAGAATTTGGGTTTTTTGTTGTCTTTTGTTAGCTGTTATCTCAATATTGACTTTTGCAATACTGATATTGCAGATGTCTCCAAAATGCAAAAAAGCCCTCTAGACAATCATTTATGTATTTATGTATGTATGTATGTATTTATTTATTAAGATTATTTGTTCTGTAAGCATCTTGATTAATCACAGTACTAGATGAGAGTTTGTGCAGGAGTTTTGATGATTCAAAGTATTTAAGTAATCCAGCAAAATTATTTTGGTCAAAATAATGCAAGCTAAACTTTGAAGGGCCCATATCAAAGAGAACTCATTTTCAGTGTTTGTGTTTAATGCAATATGTAAACGCTGTTAAAGTCACAAAATGCACTAATCTCTCCTCAGTCAACACCATCTATGTATATAGAAATTAAGTTGCGAAGTCAGCTAATTTTGAATTAATTGCTAATGTGGTGTTGTGATAACCAGTATGTTTAGGTATATCCATATACTTATGCCCCACCCGGCAGTCAGATTCAAAAGGATAAAAAGAGGTTGGAAAACGGTCAAGTAAAAATGATTTACTGTTTTTACTGGTATTTTGTCCATATTCTGCAACCCTAATAAGGACTTGCTTAAATAATGCCATTTTCCTCTGTTTGTCAGGCTTCTTTTCCAGGGAATCTGCACCTGGTGCTGGTTCTGAGACCAACCAGCTTCTTCCAGCGCACCGTCACAGACCTTGGCTTCCGCTTCAGCCAGGAAGATTTCATGCTCAAAATGCCTGTATGTCCCAAGTTCTATACACTGCCCATCAAAAATCTGGGGACGTCTTGCTTTTTTTGAAACTTTAATCTTCTCAATGCAGTTTTTTTGTGAATAATGATTTGACAGTTTTCTTTTTCAAACTATTGTTAAAAGCACATATTGAAACTTTCTTGGCTCAAAGATGGTTTAAACATCTGATGGTTTGAGTGTTGATGAATGCTGACATCACAACAGGGCAATTATTCTCAAGGTAGTACTGTCACAAATATTGTCATACATGTGATCAGGGACATGGAATTTAGGGGTGCTGAGGGGGCTGCAATGCCTACCAATTATTTAACTGCAAATGCTAAAAAGAATAATGGAAAAATAACAAAAGAACAGAACATTAAAGTATTTTGAGCATAGAAAAAGTTAAAGGTATTTTGAGCAGAGCTTTTTACAGGCTGGAGTTTGTATTTATTGTTATTTATTTATTTATTTTACATATACCCAAAATATGCATCCCTCATTGGTTGCTTTGGGTGTCTAACCTGTGCATGTAGCATTGGATATCACTAAAACACAAGCATAGGTTGTGAGCTCATTCTGTACCCTGAAGCTGCCTAACATTGCTTTAAACTTTTAAAATTTAACCAACATAATCATCTCCCACTCCTATCCATTCATGCTAGCTTATCATCTCTCTGAACAATTCAAATGAAAAAAAAAAAAACAGCATATAGTATTTACCATGACATCATGATGTTTGTCACATATTTGCTGGGGTACGTAATCAAAGTTGGAAGTAAAAAGCAAAAACCTGGATTACCCACCTCTACGCATATGCTAAAAAATTCAGCACCAACATTTTAAAACACCTTCCCGCATCCTGGCATATGATGTTGTTTTGGCTAGAATTAAGTATGTTAAGTAACTGCAACCTGACAAAGAAACATGCTAATTTCTGTTAAAACAATGTGAGAACGTAAGTGTCCCCAAACTTTTGGTTGACAGTGTACACATGCTACTCAGATTAGGTCTTAAGGGCCACTGCACTGCACAGTTTAGCACCTTTTCTGACCAAATCATGCATGACCTAATAGAGGATGAGCAATATGATCATATATTATTGTTATAGTGATAAATTAGATTACGATACACTTTTCAGAGCATATTATGGATGTCAGTGCTTGTACAACACTGAACAATGGCATGCATAAAAAAGACCAATTAGAGAGAGCCTATAAACAACAACCAGAAAATAGTAACTACATAACCTAATAACAAGTAGCTGAATGAATGTCAACCCATTATTTTGCCATTATCTTATCATGTTTTTTATTCTTATTATTTTTAAGGTCATTCTACAGAAACATCCACTATTTTATCTATCCATAGGAGCCACTGGTGTTACCAATCCTCACTGCTCGCACATAAGATAGGTAACACCAGAGACAGTAACACTGGTGACATTTTTAATGAAAAATGCATTTTACAAAATGGCTGCTACAGAGCATCAAACCACATGTTGTCAATCATGGAATATTCACTAAAATATGTCTTTTTTTTTTTACAATTATCTAAGAATAAAGTAGGTCACACCAGTGACTTCAACTAAAAGCTTCATATGAAATCATGAATCATCAGTGATGTCATCAGTGTGATTTTTATTTCAAAATAAGAGATTTTTTATTACGCAGTAACACCAGTGACACGACTCCTGGGGACAACTTTCATTATATATTTTATAATATTTAATTGGCGTTTGCTATTTCTGTCATTTAAATTATATATTCCATAGTCATGTATAGATTATTGCAGTTAAAATTGCAGAAAAGCATGTTTTTTACCTCAAAACATGGCGCTCACCCTTTACACATGACTGTGAGGACGAGCACTTCTGTGGTGCCTGGAATTCTAGATAATTGTTTTAATAACCAATATTGCTAAATTGATGGCTCTAGGTGTATTTGTTAAAATAACTTATTGTGTTATTTTAAAATATAAATAAATTGTAACCCTAATATGTTTTTCAAGTGTAATATATCTGTAAATGCTAGGAACACAAAAATGGACATTTCTGTAGAATGAACCTTTACCGAATGTTTGATTGTGCTTCTTCTTAAATAGTTTATTGTAAAGGCTGAATTAGGAAAAAGCCTGTGTCTTCATAGTTTTTTCATAGTTTTTATTCATTTTCATATTTTTTTCATTCATTTTTAAAAATATAATTCATTTAAGTCGATTCCAACTTGCTTGCAAACCTCAGAAAAACTAAATATCATGATACTTATTAATTAGCATCTTGAGATGTTTTTGTGAGTACTGTGATGTTATGTCTTTGTTATATTGTCCACCATTATATAAAAGCTGATATTAGAGCAGGTTAAACAATGACCTTTGCTGTGTAAAGTCCCCCAAAACTGGATTTAAGTAATGCAGAAGAACCTCATTATAAACGTCCAGTTGTGCCACTGTATCACTGACACAGGCTGTGTATCTTCTCAGGTAGTGATGTTGAGCTCTGTCACTGATCTGCTGCGCTACATTGATGAGAATCAGCTGACGTCGGAGTTTGGAGGCACTCTGGACTACTGCCACAGTGACTGGATCGTCCTCAGAACAGTACTACTCTAACACCGCCCTGTCACTCACAGCCCAGTCTGTTCACTGCTCAGGAACTGCTGAGAGTCAATTAAACACAATGCTAATTCTAATGATGTGTTGTCTTTTTCTTTCTGTAGGCCATAGAGAGTTTTGCAGTGACGGTGAAGGACATAGCTCAGATGCTGCAGGCCTTTGGAACAGAGCTGGCTGAAACACAGTTACCTGAGGAGAGCAGTGCCATCGAGCTGCTGCTACTGTCACACACTGAGAAGTACAGGAGACTCAAGGTACAGCTGAATGAACTGAAAAATGCTGTCTGTATAAAGCATTTAAAATACTTTTCTCTGTGTTGCTGAAGTTTCACAAAGAACAAACAGTCAAAATAAACAATGTATGTTATTACATACTGTATATATTCACAGTATGTATTAACAAAGCGACAAAGACTAGGGGTGAAACAATGACAGCAATGAAAGTGGTGTTTCAACTGCATTAATTAAATGTTATAGTTAATAATTAATTATAATATACCCATTAATTCATTCATTCATTCACTCATTCATTCATTCATCTTTTAAGCCACTCACCCTCCTGTGTCGCGGAGAGTGCTACAGTCAATCTCAGCGGTCATTGGGCAGAAGCCAGAAAACACCCTGGATAGGCCACCAGCCCATCACAGATGCCCACTAATTTTTGGTCAAAATAAAATTCTTGGGATATTTTTAAATGTAAAAATCAACAAAAAGTAGTGTATTGCTGGTGGATTGATTGTATTGTCTGTATTTCACTGCTGTGTACCTACCACAGACCACCCTTTTCGTTTATTTAATTTCTGGTCTGGAAATTTACAGCATAAGGAAAAGCAGAAATCATATTTGTTATACAGAAATATCTCCAAGCTAATTTAGATGCACAGTAGAAAGAGATCTGCAAGCCAGCTAAGGTGTGTTTGTGTAGTTGCTTGTGTGAATGTTAGATTCTCTTTAAAGGAAATCATAATGTCAGTGAGAGCTTTAGGAACAGCTGTAACTCAATGATTTTGAGATTGGAAGGATGAAAGGGTTAAAGTGGCTGTAGAGTGCTCAAAAGTAATAAGTGGACAAACTAAATATTGATAGATTTGATATTATACAAATTGTTGGAGGTATTTCTGTATCTTTGTGTTATATTTGTTTTCTATTTTTTTCTGACACAGAAAAATGAATAACTTGTGTTTAATAGCCATTTTGACTGGAGATTAAAGAAATAAAAGGGTAGTCTCTGAATTTTGCATAGTACTGTAACTGATCATAATTTAATCAAGTCATTGTGAGGTCAGATGGCCACCCCTACCAAAGGTAGCCTAAATGAATAAATAAACATTGCAAATTGTTTACACTCCAAAATTCTTCATCTGGCTGTGCCACTTTACTTCTGTGTTGCTCCAGTTCTGTCTGTGCTTTGTTGCGTGCTCTCTTCACTGCTTCTTTGTCTGTGCTGTCATCTCCCCTCTGATCACTTTAGGCTGTTTCTCTCTGTGCCTCTCCTGTGGCTTTGACAGAAGTAGATGGTATGTGTTATTTGTGGTGATGTTTTTGTGTGCAGGATGCTATCAAGTCAGTCATGAGGGAGGGGCGGCACCTGCTCTCCAGTCTAGAGGCTTCTGGGAAGGAAGAGGATAAAGACACACACTGGGACATAACACAGGACTGGGACACAGTGCAAAGGTATTTGCCAATAGGGCTGCAGGGGGAGATACTTTAATAATGATCTTTTATGGCTTGTTCCGATTTCTTTACAGTTAGATTGGCTGAGGGACGATTTTTATTAGCCTTTTTTTGTTTACACTGAAGCTCACTGTGTGGGCTAAATGAACACATGAAATACTCTATTAGCCAAAATCACAACATAAATAATAATATTTGCTGTTTAGGCCAAACTGGCTTTTTAAATTCAAATTCAAAAATCAGTTCCATATTTTAATAGCATGAATCAAGTAAAGTTTGAAATTAAGAGGCAACTGGCTACTTAGCAGAATATGTTATGCATAATTATTCTATGATATTTTTGTACATGTATAGCAGCAGCATTCAAATACAGTACTCATGCACTTACCTGGCTCACGTTATTTACATCATAAGACTGAACAAAATCAAAATAATAAATAGTCTGATAGCTGATTGCATGTCTAGAACAAAAAATCTGCTGATCTTGTCTGATTCCGACTGAGCTTCCCTAACTAAAGATCATTCTACAATCACTGAATCTATCAACTATTATTTTATTAATTATATTACACAACTACTTGATTTATTGTGCCTTCTGCGGTTTCCTCTCACTTTGCCACCATTACTGTACTGCCATCATTCAAACTCCTAACTAAGTACAGCAGTCAGTTTCTTTCTTTATGGTGCAGCAAAGCAGTAGAAGCCCAAATATTTTATGTAGTGTATTGCAATTTGATGGAATGACTGCATTATAGTGTGCTAATTGATCAAAAGCCAGCGATGCCACAGCCATCCATGGGAGTCAGAGTATAATTGGCCTCACTCTCTCTGGGTGGGTAGGATAGCCCACCCTCTCTCCTCATCACTCAGCAAAACAGAAACGACAGTTAGCATTTTCTTCCAAGTGCATTGAGCTGTCCAATGACCCTGCATTAGTGGCAGCTTGAAAAGATGCGGTGACTGGCTTCCCCTCTCGAATGATACCATATAATGATGTTCTAACCTTCACCTACCCTACTTGGTAGCATTGCATGATTAGGGAGACTTGGCTAGTGGGTGGAATTGGAAAGGACTAAATTGGGGGGAAATTGGGTGAAAAAGGAAAGTGCTTTTTCCATCATCAACATCACTGACTGTCAACTGTTGCATTGGCACTTGTGAATCATCTGCCCATACTTGTCGTTGAATAAATACAGCATGGTTGATTAGGATATAGGAGCATTAGGGCCGTAAAGCACAGTGCAGAAGAACTGCACTAGTCTTGTTTTTGCTTGCTCTTGCAGACTGCTAGCCCAGCTGCGAGACATGGAGATGGCTTTTGACGGTTTCTTCGATAAGCACCACCTCAAACTGCAGCAGTACCTGCAACTGCTGAGATATGAGCACAGCTTCCAAGAGGTATAAACCTCTAAAACAATGCATATAGTGGAGGATCAGATGGAGTTTAAGTTGTACAGGTGTGTATTTGTGGAGTCTGTTGTATCTCTGTCTCTTTCAGATGGAGAGCTGTTTAGACAAGCTGAGTGCTCAGGAGAGGAAGGTGATCATCACTGGAGACACACTGGCCCAGACAGAGCAGACCATCAGAGAGCTTGATATCCTGGAGAAAAGAGCCATGGTAACTTAACTACCACTCAGTTTCACTCACTATGACCACACTCACATGAATGTGAACAGGACTGGGCAAAAGTCATGGGCCACGTGAGAAAATTTTAGTTAAAGCTATTTATTTGGGTAGTAAGCATTTATTTGCTAATTTATCAATGCAATAAATTATGATTTTAAATATGTCGTTGTGTTTGCTTAATCCAGAGGAAGCCCAGCATTTGTACTTGAGTCGTTCCACGAAAAGTACCAGGGATGTAAATCTGCTAATAAGTGTTTTTTAAGCTTAAATATATTAATTCAAATTTCATTATCAACATGATTTATGGAACAATATAATTGCAAGTGAAAAAGGTATGACTTTTTATTAAGAATTCAGACATCTGTATTGATAGCGATGAAGGTCCCTCTCAAATATTACTAAATAAAAGCTGAATTAATATCAAACCTTTGCAGTGCTCAGATGTGTATCTGCTTCTACATTAATACCAGTAGGTGAGATCATATAAGCCTGTATGGAACATGACATGTTGCTTGCCAAATAGTAACAATAATCACTGTTTACTTTTCTTACTTTGTCTATCTTCAGCCAGTATTACACCAGATATTCATATTCATCACACAGAACAGGTCACTGTTGCCTTTTCTATTTATATTACTGATTATTAATGGTTTTTAAGGTATTTATTACCCAATTAATAGCCAAACTAATGTTAAACCATTCATAAACCCTTCATAAGGATAGTGTTATTGTAACGTAATATTTGATTTTTATTTTTTTGCAATATTCACAGAAAAGTAACCTAATTTACTGTTAAACAGTTGATATTAGAAGGTCTAACTTTGATGCCAGGTTTACACAAAATGTTCCCCCTGTCACATCTCCCTTTGTCGCAGCTTCACTTCAGTGGGGTTGGACTTCTCAGTGTTATTTGGCACAAACAAAACTAAAAAAAAAAAACTTACTGAGGTGGGGAAATCTGTTGTTTACTAAGAGCAAAATATAATTGAAATTACAAAGGACAAAAAGTGTGTTTTTTTACATAAGACAATTTCAGATTAACATGCACACTTGGCACTGATCTTGTGGAATGATTAAGTCACCATTCAGTATTTGGTTTGGCTAAACAGTACTTCATTAACTGTAACTGTAGTTCATTAAGTTTACTGTACTTCATTAAGTTAAATCAGGTGTGCTAGTGGAGGACCAGCACGTCTTTACTAACCATCTCACGAGATATTAATAAAAATAAGATTTTCCAGTTTCATTTTGCTGCCTTAATGTCTTTGTTCTAATTCCATATAGAGTTTTCACATTCAAAAACACATTTACTGCCCAGATAAATAGTTTTAAACTTTTTTTTTTTGCTGGTCTAAGGCATTTGTCCAAGCGTGTGTCTGACTGTATCTTCTGTGTGGTCAGGAGGAAATGGCCCGTGCCCAGGTGATGATACTGCATGGTCACCAGCTGGCTGCAGGACATCACTATGCCATGGCATTGATAATCCAGCGCTGCAATGAACTCAGACACCACTGTGACACACTGAGCTCTGCCATCTGTGCTAAACACAAAGCACTTACTCAAGTACAGACTTTACTGCAGCGCCTAGAGAAGGTGAGTTACACACGCTTTCTCTTTATTTCAGTTAGCGATCATCTGACTTTAAGGATCAGGAACAATCTATTCATATTTCAGATTCCAAGTTAAAGGTTGTTTTAATGCATGTATTTTTATTCTCTGTATTCTATCTGGCAGGCCCAACGGTGGTGTGATGAGGGCACTTACCTTTTGGCCAATCAGCTGGTAGATAAGGTGCAGTCTAAAGAAGGTGCTCAGGCAGCTCTGAAAGATATTGAGAAGTTTCAGGAGGGGGCGCCAGCGCTCCTCAGTGCAGGCTCCGACCTGCTCTTCATGGAATATGAGATTGTGCTCACTTCTCAGCTGCAGGTAAACTACCATTTCAGAAGAATGTTATTTTCATAATAAATGATGTTATTTCACAGCTGTTTGTGAAATAAATTCATATTTTAATCTACAGACGTCTGTGAAATAGTATGCATTTAATTGGAGTTGGTTAAAACAGAATGTATGATTAATTGCTTATTGTTGACTTGGAAGAATTTAAAGCGTTAAAGCGTTTACACAGTTACTCCTTTTGCAAATGTAGATCAGCCAAGGCAGTGTCTGAAGTTTGTTTCTTTTGTTTTGCACTGGAGTTGATGTAATGTCTGCTAATGCAGGTAAGAAGTAATGGAAGTTTAAAGTTACCATATTGCATCATTCAAACTGCATGACAAATGAATCACACACTTGTCTTAAACCCTGTAGAGCTGTTAAATAAACTTCCTTATGTTGTTTCTGATACTGTATGACATTATGTTATCTATAAATATGAAAATCCGTTCTTATATCAAGCCCACTCCATGCTAATCATCTATTTCCCCCATCAGCTATGAACAGTGGATTTGCTATTTGGTATAGACATGATGTTAAAACATTAGGGGACTTATATGTAGATGGCAGTTTTATATTGTTTCAGCATTTAGTGGAAATATTTTCAAACCCCCAAAATCACTTATTTCAATCCAGGTCCGCAGCTTTGCCCATTAACTAACCCTGAATTTCCAATTTTACTGGATTCTACATCTTTTGATATATTGCTGAAACCACTCCCTCTCCCTAAAATGATAATATTGTTACTTTATGAATTAATTTAGTCCTTTAAAGTTGATTCCTAGGAGGGAAATAAATCTTTGTGGGAGGAAGATTTACAGATTAATCTTACAGAGAGAGTGGGATGAAATTGTTAAAGAATGCATTCATCTTCTATTTGCGCCAAACATGGAATTATTCAGTGTAAAATTCAAAGTTTTTGGACCAAAGTCAGGCTTTAAAAAATTACCCAGAAATGCTGTCATTCAGCTCCAGTCTTGTCCATCACTTTATAGTTATTGATCTGAAATTTGAAAAACAGTATCAGAGGTTTTGAATGTGCAATGCAAACCTGATGCAGTTACAGCATTGTTTGGAATTCCCCCCCTTACAGAAGCAATCTCTAATCTTAAGTCCAATTTTGTAGCATTTCTGACCCTTTTGGCCAGACACTTTATAGTGCTAAACTGGAAGTCGCCTGCCCCCCCAACTCATTCTCTTTGGATTAGGGATACACTTCATCATGCTACCCATGAATGTGTCAACAAAACGTCGTTGGACCAGTGGTGTCCACACTTTTGCATCTGATTGTAAGTATTGATGTGCAGTGTGTTCTGTTTTTGTGTGTCCAGACTCATATAGAGAAGACATTTGAGAAGCACGCCTCGGTGCAGAACCTGATCCACGCTAGACAGAACTGTCTGAAGAAACTTGCAGACAAACACGTGAGGCCGGTTCAGCTGGTGGCCCCTCGACCAGAGAACCCACCCCGCTCCAAGTCCCCAATCTTCTCTCCCAAACATGGTATGCTGATACAAGACTACCTACACAGGCACAGAACAGTTCAATTACACCGTCTTTTACCAAAACACAAGTAGATATTAGTGAATACCACTTCGGTTGATGTTTTCATTCAAGCCTGGAGAACTGACTGAACTGTATGAGGCCCCTTTGCTCTCAAATGAAGCTGTCAAAAATATCCAGTCAGAGCTGCTAATGAGTAGCTTGGTGTGGGTTTCTGATTTGGATTCTACTCAGGGCTTGTGTAACAGTTTGTACATGTTTGCCATTTTCTTACAAATAGATTCTTCCGTCTGAGGCAGCCTTACTAAGGGGCTATGCTTCAGCCTGGCCAACCATGCTTCTTACACTATAAACCAACAATGTGGTAACAACACTAGCCTGAAAAACAAACATGAACGTTTTTATCATAAGGTAGTATTAAGTAATATGTTTATTCCCATGGAGCAAAAGAAGTGACTAAAAGTCTGCAGCAGTAGTGTGTAAGTAACTAATTTGTTTTTCCTGTAGTAATTGTGCTGCACAGTTTTATTGCACATCCACAGGATTCTAGCAGGTTCAGATGCTCAGGGCTTGTCAAACTTTATTAGATGGGTTCAACTTGAAATAATTAAAAACTAGCCAAATGCTTTTCCCTAGAAAACATTAGAGTAAAAGCATATTACTGCAAACCAAAAAAATATTTTGCAAAAACTTTGTTGTCTAAGCTAAATGTCAATAAATATGTTCTATTTTGTTATTTTTTTGGCAACTTGACTTAAAAAAAATGCTGTTTGCTTCCATCCTTTTGGCCTGTAGTGAATATGTTAGACTCCCTTTTATCCTCACTGTGCCTCAAGTGCTGCAAATCTCTACAACCTTTGTGTGAATGGGGGTGCATTGCTCCATTCTCCATGCTGGATCATACAGGAGCTATTTTTCCCATTACACTCCTAGAAGAGGAGTAGAACTAATGAGAATGAGAGAGAAAAGCTCTGTAAAACAGAGAGATCAAGAGAGCCATGCCGGATGTGGTTAGGGTGAAAAGAGCGCGCAGTATTAGCTTGACACACTGTGATCTTCACCCTCATCAAAGAGAAACTGCCAGTCACACAGAGTGTAGAGTGAAGAGGAGTTAAGCGGGATTCTGTGGTTAACACTCTGCAGGGTTTAGTGCCAGCACTTTAGAGACAAACCTGTCAGACCCAAATGCAAGAATGGATACGTAGCGTCAGTTGACTGCCAACCCTGCTGGCCAGGTCACTGCTTGCTCCACCGATTTCCTTCTGAAATACTGCTAGAACTGTAGAAGGTAATAAGTAGCTGAAAGGCTTTTAAAAGCAGCATTTAAACTGGATTTGTAGGTTTACCTGCAAAGGTACTGTAATTAGTGATTAGCAATTTGGGGAAATTAAACAGATACTTTATCCTGTATGAATCAGCCAGGGAGGGAGTAGCGAGTAGGGAGCCATCTGATTTTCACCTTGGCTCTCTGAGCTAGAAGAGTGTTTTTGCTCAATTATAAAATTGTGGTAAGAAAATGGAGGTGAAGCAGGATATTATTAGTTAATGTTGTCTTTCTCCAGCTGCTAAATGCATGGTAATGCAATCAAAAATCGGATTGTTTAGACACAAAAATGAGAGAAAAACACAATTTTTTTCTTTTAAATGATATGTGAATGACCAGGGATATGAACTAACATGGCAAAATTTGGATTCCAGGTCGACTTTAAATGCGCTTTTGCTAATGCAGATATTGTTTGTCTTCTCTAGCTTTTCCATGTTTCCAAGTTTTTTATTGATATTTCTCCACAGATTTCAATTCCAGCTTAAAGTTCACCTTTGACCTTTCACTACCAGGCAAAAGAACGTCACGAAAATGCCCCAACTCCAGAAAGGTATAGAAGGGTAGCCAGTTTTACATTTCAACTAAAGTAATATTGACTCTTTCTGAGAAAAAAGATCATCCTTTTTGTCCATTATCCTCTCTATGTAACATACAGTGTGGTGCTTCCGTTATAACAGTGTTATAGCAGAGATTGCATGACTAACATGCTCCCACCAGCTTTTGTACTGCATGGGGCTTAATTGTGTAGTAAATGGAGTCTTTCTGTATTGTGTGTCAGATTGAGGTGATGCATGACTATCAGAACCACAGCTCACTGCCCTACATTGTAGATGGGGAGGACAGTGCAGACCTGCTGAAACGGTGAGTTTGCTCTGTCTCTCGGCAGGTTGTTAGAGATGGGAGATAATATTGCTTTCCTAAAAAACTATATTGACAGAATGTTACAGGAGAAGGCAAAAATGTAATTATTGTAAGTTAGTGTAACATTACATTGGTCCATATTAATACCAACTGTGGTGTCACATGATTCGATACCAAAATGATACTATAGCAAAAAATTCAACACTTGTCTGAACTTATTGGATTGAACAAAGAAAAATATCAGCTTTTTGTCAACACAAAACTCTTCAAATGTTAAGTATTGTTCCTATTTGAGTCAAATTAGTACATAGTTTGTTATGTATTGTACATGTAAACAATATGCAACACTATTTGTGATATTTTTCAGATGATACAAAAACATATAAAACTGCTGCTGTGGATGATTTTTTTACAGAATCAAAGCTATATGTCCAAATGTTTGTAGACACCTGCTTATCTAACATTTCTTTTGAAATCAAGGGTATTAATAGGGAGTTTGTCCTCCCTTTGCTGCAATAACAGCCTCCACCATTCTAGGGAGGTTTTACACTAGATGTTGGAACATTGCTGTGAGGATTTGATCCCAGCCACAAGAGCATTATTGAGGTCAGATACTGATGTTGGATGATTAGTTTTGGATCTCAAATGTCACTGTAACTCATCTCAAAGGTATTGGCTGTAGCTCCACTGCTCAACAGCCCAAGTCTAGCTGACACTTGACTTTGGTTATGGTGACCTTAGGTTCATGTGTGGCTGCTCCAGAGCATCCCATTCTATGGGTAATGCTTTTCTATAGATCATGCAAGCTTTATTTGTGCACAATTGAATGCCTGTGGGAGCAATGGGAGCACCTTAAAGTAGGTGAATTCATTAATTAGGAGGACTGTCTCGATACTTTTGAACATGTAGCTGGCTAGTAATATGATCAAACACAGCATCAATGATAGAATTTTTTTTTGGTGGAAAATGTAAGCTGTATTACAGTGTGGTTGTTCAGTTCTTTGCTCATGTTTATGATTTATACTGTTATATCACCCAGCCATAGTATCTTTGAGATTCCCATTTCGTATCATAATGAATGATATGGATGCAGGCAGAATAAATATCTGTTCATTTATCTGTGCATGTTGCTGGTATGTACTTTTCTCTAGGCATGTGATGAAGGAGCTGATTGAGACAGAGAGAATATATGTAGAAGAGCTTCTGGCTGTGCTGCTGGTAAGAGCGTTGGAGATGAATAATCTGGAGTTCTGCTGAACTTGATTTTAATGAAAAACAGTCATGTAAATACAGAGGTGGATAGTGAATAATTGAGTTACATTTACATCCAGTTACATTCAGTTGCATCACTAAAGTAAGAAATGTATATATTCGTGCTTTTCTTAGTATTGTTTTATGAGAAACTCTGGAGTTAAGTGTAGCATTCTGAGGAAAATAATGTACTGTTTACTCAGTTTCACGTAAGCTAATTGCAGTTACTAATTCTATTTTCAGTTGGTTTGCATAGTGATATCGGAATCAGATCAGTATCAGCACTTACTTAAAAAAAAAAAGTTCAAGAGTTCACCTATAATATTAAACTGATATTTGATGTGTGCTAAAATGTCTGAATTTTATTAATTTTACTGCATTTGTAGCCCTCTGCAAACAGGTATTACATTTCTCCATAATGCAAATCCAACTGGATCAAGTCCTAATTTTTACATTTTATAAATATTTATGTATGAGCACGAAAAATATTGGATATTAGCATCGGACAGCAAGTGCCATAACGATAAGATTTTATTGTTAAAATTAAAAGAAGCAGCACTACTGAGTCAGGAGAAAGTCACCTTGTAAAGTCTAAAATAATAATGTAAAAGAGGCATTAGGTTGAAGTTTTTCAGACCACGTCATACAACAACTACAACAACAACAACATTTATTTGTATAGTGCTTTTCACAACTAGTGTTGTCTCAAAGCAGCTTTACAGAAAAGCAGTTTATAGAAGGGATCAAAAGAATAAAAAGAAAATAAAAAAGAAAACAAAAGAAACCCCATGAACAAGTCAGAGGCGACAGTGGCAAGGAAAACTCCCTAGGAGTAAGAGGAAGAAACCTCGAGAGGAACCCAGGCTCAAGGGTGGAACCCATCCTCCTCTGGTTGACCCCGGAAGAAGAGAGAATGACATAGCTAATGAGATTTTATGACAAGGTACAACAAAGAAACTTAGTACTTGAACATCTTTCAGAAATATTCTGATTAATCCAGGAGGAGGTAATGTAAAGTTAGAACCATCTCATAGGTTCTCTGTCAAAGTGAGAGATAGTCTTTACATATTAACGTCACACACACAGGCTCAGAGAAAAGCACCGGCTTCCAGCTGTTAAGGTCTCAAATTGCAAAATCAACATTATACTGATGAAGATATGATGACTCTTTCAACGTGCTCGCAAACATTGGATTCATCTGCTTGAGGAAGGTGTTTGAAGCCAAACTGCCCTCACAAATAGAACAATGCATGTGTTAATCATGTGAGGTGCCAGTATTTGAGTACTAAAATCACTTCTTACTCCTTCTGTTTCAGCACAGGACAGTGGAGAAAATAGGCAGGCTGGGAATTCAATGAAATACCACTTTTATGTTTTGCTTTAACGTGAGCATGTTGTCAAGGATGTTGTTAAAGAATACATGCAGCGTGGCTTAATTGCTAACTAGGCTATCTAGCCATTGTTAGTCAGCTCCAGAAACAAGTGGAAATATGTTTCTCTGACAAATTAACATGGTGGCGCATCATCCACTGAGGAGAGAAGACCTCATGTAAGATGGCCTGTCCTCCGCATTCAACGGTGTACCAGTTAGCTGTAGTTTTAGCTCTTTTCTGAAGAGGTGGACTCCATTACTCATGCAACACAAAACTACAGATTCCTGAGCTTCTTTTGAATAATAATGCATGTTTTCAAATATATTCCTTTGCTTGCTGCGAAATTTTTGCGCTACTAAATTTAGCTTCTTCAGATCAGAGCTACCACCTAAAAGTGTACTTCGACCGCCTTTTTTGTTCTTTTGCTTTTTTTTGTTTTTCCTTCCTCGCGGTTAACTGGATAGCCATTCATTACATGGTACACAGTGTAGCTTCTTCTTCTTTTCTAATTTTATACTTTTACTTCAATGAGTTAAAAACATTTTTACTTTTAGGTTTCTCTGCCCACCTCAATGTGTAAATAGAGATACAGTAGGTTGCTGATGTGTGTTGCTGGTGTGTGTTGAACTCCTGCAGGGCTACAGGGCTGAGATGGACAACCCCTCGCTCTCTGCTCTCCTGCCCACCAGCCTACGCAACAAGAGAGATATTCTGTTTGGAAACATGCCCGATATCTACAATTTTCACAGCAGGCAAGGCCACACACACACATGCACACACTCATATGCATGCACACACGTTCTTCAGAACTTTATTATCCCACTGCTGAGGGGAATAGCACCATGCAAACTAATACAGCAGAAGAGTGATAAGTGATTCCTGTTTCCTGTGAGATAAAACAACCTGCTGGAAAAAGAAAAAAACATACACACACACCCAGCAGCTCGGTGGCTCAGAGCAGCACGCTTTCCTCACACACCTTCACACAGCTCTGTGGGAACATTTTTTTACATTTTTTTTCCCTCACTTGCAAACGCTACTTATCCGGTTTGTGCAGCTTCGTTTGTTAGTGCCTTTGAAAACCAGTTCCGCCCGCTGGGTCTCCAGCCCTGCTTTGCCAGATTGCCAAATTGGATGCCTGTGTGAAGCTGTTCCGCCAATTAAAGCGCCTTAATTACCGCTAAATGGCTGTTGGTCAAATAAGGATTGGATTAAGCCAATGAGAACACAGCTGGAGGGGAGAACAGCAGCCGGGGGGCCTTCGGGGAGTATCTGTGTGACCTCTCGTTGGGTGTCAGTCACTCTCCGTGTGGTTCGGGTAGTCAGGGGGCTTTAGTTTGACTGAGTAGTAAAGATCCAAAGTGATGTACTGCAGTGTCTGTCTAATGGCCTCTGATTCTTAGGCTCTTCCTGAAGGACCTGGAGAGCTGTCTGGAGACGCCTGAGGCTGTGGGAGCGTGTTTTCTAGAGCGGGTGAGGAATAGTGTGTATCATGTAACCACACATAACCACACATATAGAATCCCATTCCTAGATTAGATTTATGTGGATAATTCCATCAAATTGGTTCAAAGTCAGAGCTCAAAACACATTTTAGACATTTAAATGACTTGGACTTTAGACTAAAATGTTTTGAGTGACCCTTTATCATAATTCTGTTTATTTTACTAAAATAAATGAGTAAACATTTTTTCACAAAACAGTCATAACTCTATTGAAATTTTGCTTAATGTTTCAGTAGTGACTGTTTTGGTAGTGACGATTTTAGCTAATTTTGAGCATAACTAAAAAGTGCTAGCCAAAAAAATTAAATTATTAAAATTATAAATTATAATATTTTTCATTAAAACATAAAAACATTTCTTTATTGCAGAAAATATGTGTTTTGGTAGTGACAGTTCTTAATTTAGACACTGATCTTTAGATTTTTGGATGCGTTTATTTCAAAACAGTGTATAACTGCTCACCATGTGGCCATGAGGGAAAGAGATGCAGTCTCACTTCCTGCTCTGAAATGCAGGAGTGTGGGTAAAATAAAGCTCTACCTATTTACTGAAACTTTTATTTCAGTAGTGACATGAAAATGTGGGACAGCATTTTTGGAATAAAGTTTTTTTTTTATTATTTAAATTAAACTTGTGATAAATCTAAATCTTTCAACTTTACTATAAAAAAGTCAACAATATCTTTACAAAAACAACATTGGAAAAAGAGTAAGTATCATTTTCACAAGCTGAGTTTAAGGTGTTAGGGTCCGGCACAGCCACCTCCCAGTAGAAAGTATACATTTATCTTAATACTACCTCAAATAATGCACTGGATTTAAAAAGGTCATAACATAATCCTCTGAAAACTTTAAATTTAAGAGATTTCAAACCATTTCTATTGGTCCAAATTTCCATGTGTCATGAAGTTTTCCCACAATTTGAGGGGGAACAGATTTTTCTTCTAAATTTCTGGATAATTAAACTGCTAAGATATAAATGGTCATTAAGAGTTGTTTGATGTTACATGCTTCATTCCTAGAGAATCATCGTAAGTCCAAATTGTTCCCAGAGGTGGTGATAGGAGCCAGACGTTTGAAGTCATAAAATGCCTCATAAATGTCACAGAAAGCTATAACATGTAATTGTTATGAATGCACTGCCTGAGACATTGTTTTACAATAATTTTGAGTATTTGAATACTGATCCTGAAATTATTATTTTTTAAACTATTCAAACCAAACCATAATCAAATATAAAAAAAACAATCAAAAATAAATGTTGAAATTAAGTATGTTGTGTGAGAATACTCTACATTTGTTTTTCAGAAAGAGAACTTCAAAGTGTATGAATGTTACTGTCAGAACAAGCCACGATCAGAGTCCTTATGGAGACTGTTTTCTGACTGTGCCTTTTTCCAGGTATTAAATACACTATAAAATCTACAGCTTGTAAAATCTGCAGGGGTTTAAATTGTTTGGTTTACTGCCATATACAGTATCTCCTGTATGACTGTATGATTCTCTGGCTGTGTTTTTAGGAGTGCCAAAAGAAACTGGAGCACAAACTGGCTCTGGATTCATACCTGCTGAAGCCGGTCCAGCGGCTTACCAAGTACCAGCTCTTACTGAAGGTCAAAATAAGTTTAATAATGTGTGCATGTACATAGATACTGCTGATTAAAGCCTTTTTACCTATTCAGCTGTTCTGTATAGTTTGGGACAGTTGTCTTTTCAGGCATAAAACCCTAAAGAGCTCTTTACAGTACCCTTCCTATGTTTTCTTTTAATTGCATGGTACACATCTGTTGATCTGTCAGTCACATTACAGTACTGATCCTCAGCATGTCATGCTGGATATATAACTACATTGTGAAAACTTCTTAAAAGATAAACTAAAAATATGCTACCTCAGTAATTGTGTACAGTATTAGTAAAACAAGAAACAATGTGTTGGCTATATATGGTAATACATCAATTATGTATGATGTGTATGATGGATGCAGTGATTTGTTTAATGTGTGTTTCAAATGCATGATTCTGTTCAGTTGTATCTAAGCATCTGTATGTTTATGTCTGTGTGTGCACAGGAGTTACTGAAGTACAGCTCAGGTTGTGAGAGGGTTTCTGAACTGCAGGGAGCGCTAGCTGCTATGCTAGACTTGCTCAAATCTGTTAATGACTCCATGCACCAGATTGCAATCACAGGATATGAGGTGAACACTGTGAGCCTACTAGCATTTTGTGTTGTATAGGCCGTTTCGCATTTCAGAGGTGTCCAGGAAAATTGGATATCTGAGTATAGTGTATGATGTTATAGATACCTTATTAATTTAATGAACAGTACTGTGCAAAAGTCAGAGAACACCTTTTTATTTAATTTCCAGTCAAATCAGCCATTAAGTACAAATTATTCATTTCTTGGTATCTCAGTATCTCAAAAAAAAGCAGAAAACATATTCAACAGACAATTACAAAAACTCAACCTCATAAACTAAATATAATATAAAATTTTCTGTATATTGTATGTCCACCCCAAATAGGAATGGTCCTATTTGCCAGTACACACTTTTGTCTTAAGTTGTCCTGCTTATTTAGAAATCCTTCTTGAATCAGGAGCTGATGCAGGACTCATCAGCTGTACTGACATGCTGTGTGATGTCAGGTATGTTTCATCACTCATGCTGTTTGTGTGTTAGGGTGATCTGAGCGATTTGGGCCGGGTCCTGATGCAGGGCTCCTTCTGTGTGTGGATCGGTCATAAAAAGGGTCCGACGCGGATGAAGGATCTGACGCGCTTTAAGCCCATGCAGAGGCACCTGTTCCTGCATGAGCGAGCACTGCTGTTCTGTAAGCGCAGGGAGGAGCACGGCGAGAACGCTGACAAAACCCCCTCCTACAGCTTCAAACACTGTCTAAAGGTAGAGCACCTCATGCTGTTAGTCTGATATATCCACTGTGTAATACATCCACTAGTCTGTGCTAATTTTCTTCACTGATTTCAGTAATGAAATGCAGGAGGGGCAGATGTAGTAGTCAGCATGCAGAAGGAAGGCTTCAGTTTTCAGGCCAAATGTATTTCAGTAGTCTAAATACTTCATAAGAGATGAAACCAGTTCTGTTGTCAATTGCAAGTTGTGTAAGACCGAAATTCAGCAGAACTACAGTGCCATGAAAAAGTGCTCACCCCCTTCTGATTTCTTCATTTTGGCATATTTATCAAAATATGCAAAATAAAACAAAATTTAAAATAAGACAAAGACAACCTGAGTAAAACGCAAAGTACATTTTTAAATTATCATCATGGTATTCAAGGGAGAGTTGCCAGGTGACAACTGCTGCTAACCATAAAGGCTCGTCTCACATTTGAAAAAAACACAAGGCACAAGTTTCAGTTTGTGATCTGAAGCTCAAGTGCAGTTAGGTTATGCAGAAACAACAAACCAAAACACAAGAGCAAGTCCACCTCTGAATGGTCTAGTCAAAGTAATGACCTGAACCCCATTGAGATGCTGTGACAGGACCTTAAACAGGCGGTTCATGCCTAAAGGCCCTCCAGTGTGATTGAATTAAATCAATTCTGCAAAGAAGAGTGGGCCAGTATTCCTCCACAGCAATGTGAAGGACTGATCTCCAGTTATAGGAAGCATTTGGTTGCAGTTGTTGTTGCTAAAGGCGGTACAGCCAGTTATTACGTTGGGGGATAATTACTTTTTCACATGGGTGCTGTAGGTGTTGTAAAATGTTTTCCCTTCACTAAATGAAATTATTCATTTAAAAACTGTGGTTTGTGTTTCCTTGCATTTCTCCTTCTCTTGTATGTTTATATTACGAGGCGCTGTACTTCTGCTGTGCATAACCACCTCAAAATGAAGCATCAGTGCAAAGATACTAATAAAATACTTTTCATTAATTCGTGGGTGAGCCCAAAGTTTTATTACACACTTCTATAACCTAAGAATAGCTCAGTCAGTTTGTATTGAAGTCCCTGTAGTTACTGAATAATAAGCTGTAGTATGTAATAAGCCTGGGATTTTAAGGGGTTAAATAACTAGTTGACTATTAAAAACTAACATTCATGTAACTTTTAGTGCAGAGACACAAACCTACTTCCACTTGACATATAGTATCGTTCCCTAAGCGTATATTTGTGTGTATTGTATCACGAAAAGAGCAATAAGTGACCATGCATTTTGTAAGCCAGTAAGTAAAAGGTGTCTTGCTTGCTGTGAGTGGGTTTGCTGCTTCTTTCAGATGAGTGCGGTGGGCATTACAGAGAATGTAAAAGGAGATGTGAAGAAGTTTGAGATTTGGTACAGTGGCAGAGAGGAGGTGTATGTGGTGCAGGTGAGCTCATCCTGGTGGGTTTAGGCCAAGCGTTTGTGTGGGCTCAGCTGTTTCACTCTCACATGCTTATACATCTCTCTTTTCTCTGATTCTAAGGCACCAACAGTGGAGGTGAAGCTTGCCTGGCTGAACGAGATGAGAAAAATCCTCACCAACCAGCAAAAAATACTCAAAGGTCTCTTTTATACTGTTGGATAGATTTGAGATTAGGGCCCGACATTAAGGAACCACTTTCTTTCGCTCTTTACATTGACTTCTAAGTTGGTGGTCACCAGCTGTTCACCATTATTGCACCTTTATGTGAAGAAAATTTGATAAATAAGACAAATAGGAACAAATTAACAGAATCCACTGAAAGCTCTTCCCCCAGTGCTGACATAATTCGATTATTTTAGCAGTTTATCAGTTAGTACAGCACTTTTTATTTTTTTTATTCATTTTTTTCTTCCCAGTTTAGTCATTGCCAGTTCCACTTTCTAGCTGTCTCCCCAATCACACAATGCCACCAAGCTGAGAGAGTGAAGGCTAGCACACGCTTCCTCTGAGTCACATGAAGACACTGCATCTTTTCAAATTGCTGCTAAAACAACATCATGTTTGGGGGAGAATGCTGACTGCTATTCAGTTAATGGTGGCGCACATTGGCTAGCACTGCACTAAGTGATGGGGGAGAGGCAGGGTATTCCTGTCCCCCCAACCCAGAGAGAACAAGGCCTAGTATGTTCTTGGGCACAAGGCCACTGCTGGCTGTGACATCACTAGTGATCAAACTCGCAATCTCCTTACGATAGGGCTGATACTCATACAGTTGCTGCACTCTGAGCAGTAAAGCACTGTTTAACTAAAACTGTAGGAGTCTGTTTAATTTTAGACCATATTAAATTATATTGGCTGATATTAGTAGTTGTCGGAATATTTACTTCCTTAAAATTAGGATCGGTATCAGTGACATAATTTCAGGCCAGACCCTAAAAGAGACTTCATGCTCTTTAACGACTCATTTATCCTGCTTATTCAACTTCTTTCCTATCCTTTGCTCTGTGTTTGGTTCAGAGGAATTGTGTCACTTGAGCCCGCTGGCTGAGCAGATGCAGCTGTCTCCACCCCTCTCTGAGAGGTAAATGTTTTTGTGTGTTGATTCCTTTTAAACAGTAAGAACTGACACTCGGCGCGCTTAGCAGCAGTCTATCTGTTCTCCCACTCCTTCGCTTCTTTAGCTTCTGATCTTTCCTACCTAATACCTCCCTTCCCTGCTCTTAGACCTCCTACTGCTTCAACCATGTACTGTATGTGTAGAATTCGAGCAATGCATCCGTGCACACGACTGTTCAAAAGTTTGGAATCACTTATTGTTTTCAGTAATACCTTATACAGTGTAGAATGAATTATGATTTAACTTCATACCAAGAAGTTTTAGATGTCTTATTCAGTATTTTAAGTTTTCAGGCATGAGCAAGAAAATATTAAATGATAAATAATGTGGCATAATTATCTATTTATAGTAATTTCTTGTCAAGTTATCTGCCTTGAGATTTAATGACTACTTTTCAGCTTCAAGGCATTCTAAATGTTAATTTTATTTTAACATCATTCTCAATGCCATTATAATTTCATACTTTTCATTTCTTCTCTCAGTTATTACAGAATCATCTACAGTCTTTAGTTTCCAACAACATATTTGTGACCTTTGAAGTCACTAGCATCACATAAGAATCATTTTTTATAGAGACCCAATTCCAAAAAAGTTGGTACAGTAGATAACATGCAAATGAAAACAGTAAGCAGTGATTTATAAATCTACTTTCACCTGTATTTAAAGAAAAACAGTATAAAGACAAGATATTTAATGTTTTACATTATGAACTTCATTATTTTTGTAAACGTACACTCATTCAGAAATTGATGCCTGTAACACATTCCAAAAAAGTTGAAAATGTTGTGAAACATCTTAAACAGATGATGCAGTTGTAGCACTCTGTGTGCTACTCCCAGAGGCAGGCATGACGTTGGCAGCAGTCATTTCACTTTTTATTTCACACACAGAGCGTGAAATGAAACATGCTCCGTCTCCCCTCTCTTCCTTCTCTGCTCCTTTTAAAGCACCTCCCTGTTACCACCCTCGCTCCGCAGCTCTGCCACCAGGATCAAACGTCAGGCATAGTATGGTGGCCTCACTGTGGAACAGGAGGCGGGGCTCAGGAGGTGGGACTCGGGTGCAAGCCTCACACCTCTTGCAGCTGTCGTCAGCCTCCCAGCGTCTCTCATGGCTGTTGTCGGTGCAGGGGTTCCCAGACGTTGTTATCACGCTGCCTATTGGGGCTGTTGTTATTCTCCCTCCAGCTCTTGCAGCTGTCATCCTCCTCTCACTATCTCTCGTGCTCCTTGTTGGCACAGGGATTGAGTACCACCTTCCCACTACCTCTCATGGCTGTCGACAGTCAAAGGGGTTGGGTGCCTAGCACAACAATTATGCTTGGATATAAAAGGAGCATCCAGGAATGACCTAGCCATTTATGAGCAAGGTTAGTTGAGGTTCGCTACTTAGCAAAAATGCATCAGCAAGGTCATCTGAAATGGGCTGATGCACAGTGGAAATATACTTTCAGACCATTTATGGAAATAAGTGTGTAACGTGTTCTCTGGGTCGAAGAAGAAAAGGACTATGCAGATTGTTACCAGTTTAAAGTTTAAAAGCCAGTGTCTGACATGGTATGGAGGGGGTATTAATGGGTAACCTGCACATTTGGGAAGGCCCCATTAATGCTGAACATGTTTTGGCGCAATAGATACTGCCTTCTAGACACCCTTATTTAAACATGACGACACCAAGCCACGTTCTGCACACGTTACAACAGCATGGCTGCATAATCAGAGAGTGGAGATGATGGCCGTGCTGCTGTCCAGAACTGTCTCCCTCTGAAAACATAGGTCTTATTAGGCTCAGAATATGACAACAAATACCCTATGTGGTTGCACAACTGAAGACTTGTATAACAAAAGAATGGCAAAAAATTACACTTTTAGTTTCAGGTCTTCAGTCCCCAAGTGTAGTGAAAAAGAAAGGTGACGTAACACAGTGGTAAACATGCTCCTGTCCCAGCATTTTTGGAACATGCTGCAGGCATCAAATTTAGGATGAGCGTATATTTACAAAAAACAGTGTTCATAAGGTACAACATAAAATATAGTTTTTTGTACCGTTTTCAACATGTTAACATTTCACACTGTGCTAACTCTGTCATAACTTTTTGAATTGGTTTTGTACAACTACCTACCACAAAACTGTATATTGTAGATTCGTATATTATTGAAAGTGGTCATTCTATCAGTGAATTTAACCACTGATTCCAGACTTTTGATGAGTGGTGTAAATTCCCAAACCTTCTTGCAGGGTTAAAGTGAGTTTGTGATGATGATGGTGATTATGATGATGTGAATAATGGATGGGAGGATGAAGCCGCTGTGTGTGGTTGCCTGTCCTCCTGCAGGGCCATGCGGCCTTCCCGCGGCGTTCTTAAGGGTTGCCTGCCGCGCCTGGACCTTGTGTCCCTATCGGCGGGTGCGTGTGTGTGTCTGCGCGCCCGAAGCCCACACCTCACTCGCCCCTCTCAGCGCCAGTGACGCTCCGTGGTAAAGCGGGCGGGGGGGAGAGGGCCGCTTCGATTCCGCTCCGTTACACCATGACTGCTGTGGCTGCTGTGGTCACTCACTGGCTGCCATTCCAGCCCCTTTCATACCACAGCTTACTGTCCAATCCCCAGTGTGCACTCACTCATGATTCAGGGCCGCACTTCACTGCCCCATCTCTGCATCAGTTCTGCATGAAATGCAAAGGAAGGTGATAAACGAGTGTTTGGTTGACTTGATGTTTTTGGCTGCTGAAACCATGCTTTTAACGTGGCTACCAGTGAAAGCTGCCAGTTTAATACCATATCAACATTAGCTTTCATTCATTGTTAGCCACATTAGAATTGTTTGGTTGAAGCATCTCTTTAAGACAGGCTTTTCGTAGATCAAAGCCAATACATGTATTTCTGTTTGTGCAGAAATGCTATAATCACAAGGATGGGTGCTGAACAGCCAAGCTTAGTGAATAAAATCTTGACAAATCTTACTTTTGTTCCATTTACTTCTCAGCATGTGGCTCTGCTCTAATAATGGACAGTCAGTTTCTCCATAGACTTGAATGCAGACTTGCATCTGCAGACATCTGCCAGCTTTTGACTTGATTTATGCTGGGCTGATGGCCAGTTTGGCTTGTGCGTTTCACAGAAAAGTGTGAGTGTTTGTGTGTGAGAGAGAGAGAGAGGGAGAGAGTGCATTTATTGACAAACCTATTTAAGCTGGATTAGTTTTACCTGTGGAGGTACTGTAATTTAAGTGATTACTGATAACATCTGTGATTTTAATCCAGTATGAATCTGCAATGCCCATAGTTTTAACAAGACTGACAATACTAATTCTAGAGCAAATTAAATTCTGTAATTCACTGAATGTTAGGCCTGTCACAGTCCTGAATTTTTTACTGACGATTAATTGCCATTTAAATAATTACATTTATCAACTTAATTGTCTTATTTGGTTAATTGGTTAATAATTAAAAGCCTAAAGTGGGCAGATTGGCTGATTAGTTATCTTGCTTTGTAGTCGTCAATGCTTAGTGGCTTCCAGCCAACAACATACACTGCTTGAGCGCAAATAAACATTACTTGCCACTGCCCTCTAACGGCGCTATTAACAAGCATCAAATAAACAAACATTACTCACTGCTGCTCTTCATAGGTGCTACAGAATCAGCTTTCTACACTATATGGCCAAAAGTATTTGGACACCTGACCATCACACCTGTATGAGCTTGTAAGACATCCCATTCCAAAACCATGGGCATTAATATGGAGTTAGGCTTAAGCTAGTGTGCAGCTGGCCGTGGAAACCCATTTTATGAAACCTGTGATAAACAGTTCTTGTGGTGATTGTGCTTTCAGAGGCTGTTTGGAACGCTGTTGTGAGTAATTCAAGGGAGGTTAGGTGAATTTTATGTGCTATGCACTTCAGCGCTCTTCAGCCCCTTTCTGTGAGTTTGCATGGCCAGTTCACAAAAATAGCACCAGCAGATCTAGCGGGGCAGAAATTTTACTGACTTGTGGCAAAGGTGGCAACCTATAACACGCTACGTTTAAAGTCACCGAGCTCTTCAGCGTGACCCATTCTACTGTCAATGTTTGGAGGAGTGTCCACATACTTTTGGCCGTGTAGTGTATTTACCTCAACTCAAATGGATAATAATGCACCCAAGTCACAGTCCATTTGTTGCAATGTACACATATGATTGTAATTTTATAGATAATTGTGATCGTTGCTAATAATTGCAATCAGACAATTATGTAATAATAGTGACAGTCCTGCTAAATGCAGAGATTGACTGACATTCACTGACAACAGCCCTTTTTGTCAAAAGCTGCAGTTAAACGTGAAACATTACAAACTGAGCTATCTGTTGTTATTCAGTGAAATTACAGATACTTTATCTAGTATGAATTGGTCAGTCAAATCCTTTACAAATTACATTACACAACCTCCTCTGTTAAAACTAATCCAACTCGAGCAGTGCTTAAATGTACTATATTCCTCCTCTATCTCAGCAAACAGCAGAGAGCGTCAGTCAGCTCGGAGGAGACAGAGTCGGGCCGCAGCAGTCCAGATCCAGCCAGCCACTCTCCACAGCACCAGCGCAACAGGCGCAGTGGGTACCGCACATACACATACACAGGGTGATGTGCATATTTAAACCATACACACACACACACACACACACACACACACACACACACACACACACACACACACACACACACACACACACACATCAACAACCTGTGCAATATGTGTTCTTGCTAAGAGATCATGAGCTTCATCGCACCCCCCCATGAGCTTCATGTAGTGTTCAATCCAACTATCTGTGCCACCCACATTCACTCACAGCGTTGTTGATGAAACACCGTCAACCATGCAATCTCTCCACCCACATCCATGTTTTCTTTTTAGTGAAGCTCACACAGGCTGCCAACATCAGTTAAGTTTATCAAAGCCTTTTTGGGTACCTTTTATAGGTACCACTGCTGCAGAATGTACAATTATATATGCCTATACAGCTGATTCAGGATAGTCTCTAAGTTGTATACAGTATTTGTAAATAAATTAATATATAAATGAATGTCAACCTTTATGCAGAACATATAATGAGAGAAGCAGGACTGAAGGAAGATGATCTAGGATTAAGGATTGCTGGAAGAAACATCAATAACCTTTGAAATGTGGATGATACAACAAAAAAATCTGGAACATCTGAAGGCTCTTATGAGGAAAGTTAAAGAACAGAGTGAAAAGAAGGGCCTTTGGCTCAATATGATGAAAAACTAAGGTTATGACAACTGGAAAAACTGCCAACTTTACCACTGATGAAAAAGATGTGGAAATGGTAGACAGCGTCTTTAAATACAATAATTAGTTTCTTTAAACAAAAAATCAGAATAGTCCAGGCTATGGTCTTCTCTCTGTGATGTACAAGAAATAATAAACAAGCAAGACAGGAGGAATATTGAAGCCTTTGAACCTGGCGAAGACTTTTGAGAGTACATTGGATAGCAAAGAAAACAAACTAATGGATCATCGAACAAATCGAGCCTCACCTCTTACTTCACACGTGTCATGCTCCAGTCCTTGTGGGCCACTGGAACACTGCAAACTTTAGCAACCTACCTCATTAAACACACCTGATTCAGCTCATCGGCTAATTAGCGAGGCCTACATGCACTGAATTCAGAGCGTTAAATAAGGGGAAACACTAATCTGCACTTTGGCCCAAAAGGTGTCCGGTTTGACATGCCTGTCTTACTTGAAGCCCAGATAAACAAACTACAACTTATTTTGCTCATATTCTCAGAAGAACCAGTTCATTGGAAAAGTTTATTCTGTTTGGGAGAGTTGATAAAAAAAGGGAAAAGAGGAAGAACAGCTGATCAGTAACAGATGGCTACAGTCAGAGGAATCATGAACCAGCCATTCAGAAGCCTGAATACCCAAACAAAGACAGGATGTTCTGGAGAAACACTATCCATATGATCACCAAGAGTTGAAATCGACTTAACAGCACTTGTATGTACTGCATCTTGGTATTGGATGGTAGCTGTAAATACTGTGAAATGTAAGTATATGTGTGTGTTTGCAGGCTGGCCGGGTGCTCCTCACTCTGTTGATATCTGTGAGGGTCTGGAGGACTGGAGTGGAGCTAACAGCCTCTCCAACCTGACTGACACTGAGGAAGATGACTCTGCTCAGTGGGTGTGTGCACTGGCTCTCAGGCTACCATCACATTACAAGTCTTATTTTTAAGTATCATTATGATCAGATCCAGTCTTTCTGCTTTCTGCTGTAGGTGACCTATAACTGTCCAGTCTGCTGTTTTTTCCACTGGGCAGTGTGGTGCAGTACAGTGCGGTTATAAATCTGTGATCACGCTTTTTGTTGTTATTTCCACTGCCAAGTGAACTGTACCATACTGGAGTACCTGAGCTGAATGTGGTTACACTAGAGAATATGTTGTGAGGAGAATTGCTACTCAATATCAATGTCTTCCGGCTTTGTCAAACTCTAGAGAGCACTCTCAAGTGAGTTTTGTGCAGAATCATAGTTTGTAAATGCTTGATCGTTTTTATAAAGAAACTAATTTTATGAACATACAGCATATAATATTTCACTTCTGGTTACCCTTCTTGTTGGGGTGCCAGGCATGCCAAACCAGGACATTTGGGTGGGCTGCTAATGGTACAGACCACTAATTGGTCAATTTCAGTCACCACAGAATTGTCATGTGGTGTCACTGGGGTCAGATGACCAATGTTAAAAACACAAAAATACACTAACTGGCCACAGTCGGTGTCTGTGACTCTCACACAAAATCAAACACAGAGTAAAAGGTAAATCAGAACTTGAAGCTTTGCAATGCTGGATTCACGTGAGAAATCATGTGACCACACAAGCCAAACTCCGCCTACTTTCACAGTTCTGTTACGTGGACACAAGTACTTGACCATGGTATGAATAGTTCTGGATTTGTAACAGTACCATACTCTACTATACCCCTGGTGGAATAACGGCAATAGTGTGAACAGACTGAATGATGAGATGACAACTATGATATGTGCATCATAATTCCATGTGCACACAGTGAAGTGTGATTTTTAAAAAGAAAGGTCGTTTTGAATACATATCTAATCTAAGACCACATAAACTGACTCAGATGTTTGTGTTCACACAGCTCTGAAAAAATCACATCACATATAGGCAAAAAAAATTGGATGTGTAAAGTGTAGTGTATAGCATAGACCAAAGCACAAAGTACCTATGCTAAGATACTCTTCAAATACCCTTCACTGGTGGTCCTTGCTTCTTCCCCCAAATATTCCTTCATCCTGATTTCTTCCCAGACCCCAGGCAGGTACAGAGCCTTAGCAGACTGCCGCAGATACAGGCCTGATGACCTCATCATCAAGTGTGGTGATGTCATACAGCTGCAGCAGGAGGAGAATGACGGCCAGTGGTGTGTGCTAATCTTACTCACCTTAATTTAAGATTTAGGTTACATGTTAGATTAGCTTCAGAATACAGTAACATAAACGCTACAAAAATTATTTGTTTTAACCAATGCCAGGGTGTAAATCTTTAACTTCACAGCGATTTAATTTGAGGAACTGATTCAGTGCATCATGAAATATCATTTTTGCCAGAATTTGGCTGATTTGACCAGATTATTTTGCCACCTTTCCAAATTATTTTATAAAAATACACTGAACATGTAAATGTAACTGAAAGAAATATATACAGAGTTATGGAATACTGACAGAAAAAAAATGTAAAAATCTGTTTGTAGATTTTTACATTAGTAGTCATCTCAGTAGCCTGAGAATGTTTTTGGCCAAAAGTTAGCATGTTTTATTGAATAATGTTAAAATCAGTTCTGTGATTCCAAAATCAGTGCAGTTGAATTGGCACCTTCTTTTACAGCAGGAGTGTCCAGTCTCATCCGCAAAGGGCTGATGTGGCTGCAAGTTTTCATTCAAAATGGGCAGAAGCACACCTGATTCCACTTGTTTAATCAGTCCTTGTCTTTAAACAGCTGATCATATGTGGTTCTACTTTGTTGAAATGAAAACCTGCAGCTTCGCCAGACCTTTAATAAGATTGGATTCCCCTGATTTACAGAGACATAAGACTTCCAGTGCAGTTGTATATTAACTGCACTGCCTTTACGTAATCTTTGTAGTTTGACAGTGTTGCAAAACTGACCCTTGGTCTGTAATAGGCTGGTGAAGAATCTGAGCCGGAGGCAGGAGGGCAGGATCCCTGCTGCCAGCCTGCAGATCATTCTGGGAAACAGCAGCAGAGGGCATTCCAGCCGTCTGGGAGGTGAGAGGTCATTCGACCTGAAACCAACATAGAGCCTGTTTACTGTCCTTCTGCTTGACTGTCAGCATGGTGCTGTATGGAGTTCATTTTTTTCATGAGTTTAGGGATTATGCTTAAAATATTATGGCATGCTCTATACTGACCTATGTTCTCTACAGAAGCAGGGAATCGGAAAGCACGGAAGCTCAGCTCTCCCTGAAGTTAGACGTCTGATGCTGTCTGGACCAACTGTTGCCCTCAGTCTAACAAGCCTCACAGCTGTATGAACTCTGCCCACCACATCTGAACATTACTGCTGTACTTTATTCTACATTCTCCTGACTGGGATTATTCCTGGGTTTGTCTTCCAGCTAGACGTTTTCTAATGTCAGGGACTGACAAATGGATCAGCAGTTGTATTGTACTGTACAAGCCCTTGCCAGCATTTTAGGATCAGATGAGATCCCTTTGTCTTTTTCTTTTTCCTCTGGCTGCTGTGGGCCTGACCTTCAGTTACAAAAGGTCGAACATCTTCAAAATGCATCTAATTTGACGTAGTCATCTGTTTCTCAGTTAACACATTTCAGTCCTCCTGACCCCAGTGAACTCTGGAGCGTTCTACCAGCTGTTGTGTGGCCCATCGTTATCCTTCCAGATGTGGCCTTCTGTTGCCGTGACCATCCTTTCACCTCTTTCTGCTCTCCTCCTCACATAAACACTGGCAAGCCTCCATGGACATACTTTAATTAGGCCGTTGACAATGAATTGGGTGTTTAATCATGTTCTGGCCTCCCACCTATACAACCAGGTGTGTTTTGGGTGCTGATTGCTGTACCTTATGTACCCATTTGCTCTTTGTATGTTTCAGACAGACACTCTTCTTTAGCTCTTTGAGACCTTTAAGGCCAAAAAGTGTAGTGCCATAATGCCTTTCTTTACTCCCCTACACTGATTGGCCAGCATATTACCTTGTATCTGCACTCATTAGCTGCTTTATTAGGTACACCTCCCATATAGGTCCTCTTTGTAGGTTTACAATTGCTGACTGCAGCCCATCTGCTGCACGTTTTATCAGCTATCCTCTGCTCCATCAATCACTGAAAAGGGACCACCACATCAGATATTATTTGGCTTGTGGACAGTTCTGGGTGGTAGTGCGTGTCGCAATTGTATTTTAAACATTGCTGGAGTTTTTAAACACTGTGTACACACTGGCCATTTTATTACAAACACTACCTTGTTGGTTGATACTCTTTGTGTGCAGGTAGACTGTACTCTTTTTTTTGCCATGCACAAGTATTTATTTAAGGCTGTTTCTGACCACAGGACCACTATTGGCTAAATTTTTCTGGTGGGAGGACTTTTCTCAACCCAGCAGCAAAAATTAGTTGTGTAATAACTTCAGAACGCCGCCTGCCTCATACCACAACAACTGCTTCCATACCACAACCATAAAAGTGGTCTCTTTTCATTAATAGAATAAATGGCTGATAAATGGTACAGCAACAGATGGGCTACAGTCAATAGTTGAATACCTGCAAAGAGCATCCATATGATAGGTGCACCTGATAAAATGGCCAATGAGTGTAGGTACAAGGTCCTACACTGGCAACTCAATATACAATACTGTGCAAAAGTTAGAGACCAACCTTAATTGGTTTAATTTCCAGTCAGAATAGTCTTTCAGTACAAGTTATTTATTTTTCAGCATCTGCAAAAAAGCAGAAAATGTATGTAACAGCAAATTTCATCAACATATGAAATGTATATAATATCAAAACGTTCAGCATTTAATGTGTCCATGCATTTCCTTTTTTACAGCTTCCATTCTTTTAGGGAGACTTGTTTTCAGTTTTTTACTGGATGAAATGTACAGGGATATTTTTCCACATCTCCAAAGTTCAGTCCCAGAAGTTGGTTGCATTTTCTGCTTCTCACAGTCCAAATATTCCCTCTGGGGTGGCCAGTCCATTGTTTTGAGAACACCAGCAGCTTCCTTGTTTCATTTGTGTTAACTTCTCTAAGTGGAAGGATGGATCTGAAACTAAAGGGAGCTTGATTTCCTAACTCTGAAAGATGAAAGCTTTAAGTACAGTTTATCTAAAAATTGACCGTTTTGGTGGTGTGCCAGGTTTTGCATGGATGTTAAGAGTCTTTTAAGTCTAGTTGTCGATTTTCTTTGACCTTCCTCTTTCTTATGTAATTATTTTATGTCTCATCTTTGATGAATAACTTCAATGAATACTTAGTGGTCGTTTTGACTGAAAATTAAATAAATGAAAGGTGGTCTCTGACTTTTGCACAGTACTATATATGTCATATTCTCTGTTACTTGCAGAATTTGATTAGCAATGTTGGTGTGTTTTAGTGCAGCTTTCCAAACCTCAGAAATGAGTTTTAAAAGCTCTTTAAATAAACTATAGGTCACAGGATCCACTGGATATTTTAAAGGTTTGCATGTCTACAAGTCCTGAATGAGCCTGCTCTTCTAAATGCACTCACAGGCTGCTGGCTTGTTGAGCATTAATGCAGCTATGCCTTCATCAAGCCTGTCAGTGTGAAGTTGATGATTAACTAAGAGACGAGGGCCCGAGCTGGCCCGTAGATTGACGCACAAGTTGAACTGAAACAGAGCGTGGAGACACTTCTGTTTCCCCACTCACACTTGTGTGTGTGTGTGTGTGCTCCCTAATCTAGGCTTCCTATTAGAGATCATACCGCAAACATGAAATGTACCCACTGTGTCGACGCTTAATTAAATATTGATTGCAGACTTATATGAATTTACCACATCAAATCAAGCCCCCAGTTGGAGGGCTGCCTTTGATATACCAGCGTTTGAAGTGGAAATGAGTTCGGCGACGCAGCAGGAGCACCTCCAAAGTACACATTTCTTATGTTATTAATTTATTTATTTTGCTATCAAGTTGTTCTCTTGCAGTGCTCTGCCAGCCTCTGGAAATCATGTCTCTATAACGTTAAACACACCGCGACTGGAAATATGGGATATTCTAGCTGTAAACCTTGCATTATTTCTGAATTAATATGCCTGAGTAGCTTTATGTTATGTCATTAAATTATTCATTTTGATGGGAATATGTATGCAAATTGACTTTATTGTAAATGTGACAATGTTATCTGTTCCATTTTTGTACAGCCCATTGTAAAGTGTAAAATATATGTTTAAATAAATTATTAAATTGTTTTCTAGAAAAGTGATTTGAGCTGGACACAACCACATTTGTTCCACTCAATCTTTTCCTCTCTTTTAACATGGGGGCGTCGATAGTGTTGTAGTCAAGACCCCTAGAGCCGAGTCTGTATGTGTGTATATATATGTGTGTGTATATATATATATATATATATATATATATATACACACACACACATCACCACCTAAAGTCAATTTAACATAAACTACATCCATTTTTATTATTAAATGAAATCATAAAAACATAATAATAATAATAATAATAATAATAATAACAACATTCCAATCTCCCCTTAAGAAAAGTTTGAATTTTGAAACCAATAAACATCAATAAACAAAAATACTCAGATCCTCAACCAACAGATTTTATGATTTTATTAAAACATTGATGACAATGTTTTATGACAAACGTTGAATATTTGCTAAAACATTTATGTCAGTCTCATTGATTGTTTTGGAAAAAATTTAGCTAGTTATGTTTATATGTTTATGTTTGTGTTTTTTAGTGCAAGCATAACTGAAACAAAGAAAACAGCAGTGAAGATGTATCTCAGGGCTTGAGAACTGAAAATCAGTGACTTGCGCTCTTTGCTCAGGGGTCTTTTCAAATAAATGGAAAATTTTGAATTGAGCCAGAACTCTGTTTTCAGCTTTCCTCTCTTAAGCCATCAAGCACTCAGTAGCTGCCAAGTCAGCTCTCTGATTAGGTGAGTCAGAAGAAGACAAACGGATTGCTTAAATCCACAGAAGATTTTGTGGTTGTTTGTGTGGGCCGCGAGTTGCGATATTCAAAAATAATACATCTTTCTGTTACCTCAGACAGGGGCACTGCACTCGGCTGGTCTCCACAACAATTTCTGAGTCCTTTCTGTGACCTTACCCGAGACCAAGACGACCAAGTTCGAATGAGGTTGAGACTGAGACGAGACCGCTAGTTTACGGTCTTGAGGCCAGTCTTCAGACCAAGACCGGATGAAAATTTATAAAACACTTTAACACTCCAGTGCTGCTGGATTTTTAAAAACACATCAAGGTCACTGCTGGCCTGCGAACCGTCCACCAGCCAAATATATCCAGCCACCAGCATCCTGTGGGGCCCCCTTCCTAAGTAAATGTACTAGTCCAAAACGTCTATGGTTTATTCTCATTCACAATAGACTGTAATAGCAGGGCGCGACCTGGGGGAGGCGCTGCTGCTCTAATGCAGCGTTACCTCTGTTCAAAGCCATCTCTACATGGCTCTGCCGCTGCTGTACTACCAAATATTGACTAACGTAAAGTTCAGCCAATCATATCAGACCTCATGCGTTGTAAGCCAATCATATCAGAGCTGGGGGAGGGTCTCTGTTCATGCCCTGGAAAGTAATCACCGGTCACCCAGTTAAAGACAGGATTTTAACAAAAAGCTAACTAAAGTAAACATTACACCTTATTCAAAATCTACAATATCCAGAGTGAATATATCCACCTACAATATGGATTTGTGGCAAATAATGGTCAGTATAGCTGGATATCTGTCTTTTTCTTGGTTGCTTAACTCAAGCTAGCTAACTTCAGTTAATTTTGGGTTTAAGTGAGGTAACTAAAGAAGAGCGGTTAGGCTAACGCTAACATTAGCTACTAGCTGACAAGCCAACTAGTTCATCCTCACATAGTGAGTGCAGAGTGTGAACGATCAAGCATGATAGAAATAACGTTATTGACGCCCTTTATATTCTTTATTATTAGATTTCTCTTACATATTTGGAAGTGTTTGCCATAAATTCTTGTTTACAGTAAGTTAAAGTCAGTGAAAAGGACGAGGCTGATGTTGTTAACTACTATTCGCCAGATTCTTGTTTGAGTTTTCCTGCCGCGAGGCGCCAGAATTAAACTGCTGCAGGATTTAAGGTGGAACGGAAAAATTCAAACATGAAGCGGATTTAGCTTTATGTGAAAAGATCATCATAACAGTTTTCTACCTCTCAATTCCTCAACCTGTAGATGGAAATTAAGAGGCAGCAACTCCGTCCAAAGCCAGTTAGATGAGAAGGTTTTTACCAGTTAAAAATAAATAAATTGATTGATCATTTTTTCCTTGAGTTCTTGTAAATCTGAGTTTAATAAAATGAATGTATTATCAAACACAGGAAGAGGAGGAGAGAAAAAAGCTCAAGGAGACTGACAGGACTGGAGGAGCAGATCTGAGGGAGGTTAGTGATCAAGAAGAAAGTGAGGGAGAGTTATATAAGCTTTCAAATAAAATTAATACTGAATTTAATTGAACTTAAATGAGAAAATATAATGATTGTCACCATGACCATGAAATTCTGTCACCTACCTTATTAAACATACCTACAGAGCAAAATCACACTCGTTCTGATTGCGCCAACTGAGACTGAACTATAATCTGTGTGTCTGAATAATATATGTAGGACATTGCAGCTGATCTAAGTGAGAGTAAATAGCATTGCTTGACTTCAGTACCTTTGTTTGATCTGTTCCTGTTGTAAGTGGATGGATATGACGTTTTTTATACTAGCTCTGTGCTAATACAAACTAAGAAGAGGCAGTTCTGCTGTGTGCCAATTTGACCAAAGAACCATTTTTTGATATACTTAACACAGCTGATGATCATGACATTTTCTGGCCTTTTGTACTCTAAAAGTGCATTGTAAACATTTTTGGGGCCATTAAAAAAAAAAAATTCTTTTGGGGACCATGCCCCCCAGACCGCCCTAGTACAGGCTTAGACCCCCCATACATGAACCTCTAGTGATGCCCCTGAGGATGACTAACACAAGCTGTGCAGCAACAGAGTAGATACTGTCTCTAACTTTTCATCTACAAGGTGGACCAACAAGGTAGGAGTGTCTAATAAGGTAGGTTTAATAGAGCTCTGAATGAATCCAACCATTGTCAAATTCAGCTGGCTAAATTAAACTTAAATGTGTGCAGTGATGGAAGAAAGACAATAGAAATATTTTTTAAAAGAACTTGGCACTAAATTTGGTGACAAGACAAGTTTGAGTACAAATTCTATTGAGTCCAAAAACGCCTTGAGTCCAGACATGAGTCTGTTACTGTGCATCAAGTATTACAGCACTAAAGATATGTTATAAATTGAGACTTTATGCTATATTTGTGTCAGTCATTTTGATGTAAATGGGAATAGCTTCCATTCTATTCAAATCCACCCCATCGTATTCTTAAAAGAGGCAACCATAAAAGGGAACAGTGCTGAATCTGAAAATGTTTAGCTTGCAATTCTTATAAAGCCAACAAAAAAGCATTAAACTAAAATATATATATTTTTTTTTTTTCTTAGCACTGAAAGCAGCCAGAATACATCTGGAAACTGGCCTTGAACTGCTGAAAGACAGGGTGGGAG